GACCGCGTGTCTCGGACACTCGGGTGAAGAGAGGGGCGGAGCTGTCAACCGATCATCACCTGGTCGTGAGTTGGATCCGCTGGCAGGGCAGGAGGCCGGTCAGACCTGGCAGGCCCAAGCGTGTAGTGAGGGTTTGCTGGGAACGTCTCGCTGAGCCCCCTGTCAGACGGACTTTCAACTCACACCTCCGGGAGAGCTTCTCCCAGGTCCCGGCAGAGGAGGGGGACATCGAGTCCGAGTGGACCATGTTCTCTTCCTCTATCGCCAATGCGGCGGCTCGTAGCTGTGGTCGCAAGGTCTCTGGTGCTGGTCCCGGCGGCAATCCCCGAACCCGGTGGTGGACACCGGCAGTAAGGGATGCCGTCAGGCTGAAGAAGGAGTCCTATCGAGCAATGATGGTTCGTGGGACTCCTGAGGCAGCTGTCCAGTACCGGCAGGCCAAACGTGCCGCGGCCCGGGCTGTTGCAGAGGCAAAAACCCGGGACTGGGAGGAGTTCGGAGAGTCCATGGAGCATGACTATCGGTCGGCCTCGAAGAGGTTCTGGCAAACCGTCCGGCGCCTCAGGAGGGGGAAGCAGTTCTTTGCCAACACCGTGTATGGTGCGGGTGGAGGGCTGCTGACCTCGACTGGGGATATTGTCGGGCGGTGGAAGGAATACTTCGAGGTTCTCCTCAATCCCCCCGTCACGTCCCCCGTCCAGGAGGCAGAGGCTGAGGATGTTGGGGCGGATACTTCCATCTCCCTGGCCGAGGTCACCAAGGTGGTTGGCAGCCTCCATGGTGGCAAGGCGCCGGGAGTGGATGAGATCCGTCCTGACTATCTAAAGTCTCTGGATGTTGTAGGACTGTCTTGGCTGACACGTCTCTGCAACATCGCGTGGCGATCGGGGGCGGTGCCAATGGAGTGGCAGACCGGGGTGGTGGTCCCTCTCTACAAGAAGGGGGACCGGAGGGTGTGTTCCAATTATCGTGGGATCACACTCCTCAGCCTCCCCGGTAAGGTCTACTCCAAGGTACTGGAGAGGAGGCTTCGTCCGATGGTCGAATCTCGGATTCAGGAGGAGCAGTGTGGTTTTCGTCCCGGTCGCGGAACACTGGACCAGCTCTATACTCTCCATCGGATACTCGAGGGTTCATGGGAGTTCGCCCAACCTGTCCACATGTGCTTTGTGGATTTGGAGAAGGCGTTCGACCGCGTTCCCCGGGGTGTCCTTTGGGGGGTCCTCCGGGAGTACGGGGTCCGGGGTCCTCTGCTGAGGGCTGTTCGGTCCCTGTATGACCGGAGCCAGAGCTGTGTTCGCATTGCTGGCAGTAAGTCAGACCTGTTCCCGGTGCATGTTGGCCTCCGCCAAGGCTGCCCTTTGTCACCGGTTCTGTTCACTGTATTTATGGACAGAATCTCTAGGCGCAGCCAGGGGCCGGAGGGGGTCCGGTTCGGGAACCACAGGATTTCATCTCTACTTTTTGGGATGATGTCGTCCTGCTGGCTCCAACGAACCAGGACCTGCAACATGCACTGGGACGGTTTGCAGCCGAGTGTGAAGCGGCTGGGATGAGAATCAGCACCTCCAAATCCGAGGCCATGGTGCTTGACCGGAAAAAGGTGCCTTGCCCTCTCCAGGTGGGTGGAGAGGTCCTTCCTCAAGTGGAGGAGTTCAAGTATCTCGGGGTCTTGTTCACGAGTGAGGGGAGGATGGAGCGTGAGATTGACAGGCGGATCGGTGCAGCGTGCGCAGTGATGCGGTCTCTGTATCGGACCGTTGTGGTAAAGAGGGAGCTGAGCCGAAAGGCAAAGCTCTCAATTTACCGGTCAATCTTCGTTCCCTCCCTCACCTATGGTCATGAGCTGTGGGTAATGACCGAAAGAACGAGATCGCGGATACAAGCGGTCGAAATGAGCTTCCTCCGCAGAGTGGCTGGGCGCTCCCTTAGAGATAGGGTGAGGAGCTCGGTCACACGGGAGGAGCTCGGAGTAGAGCCGCTGCTTCTCCACGTCGAGAGGAACCAGTTGAGGTGGCTCGGGCATCTGTTCAGGATGCCTCCTGGACGCCTTCCTGGGGAGGTGTTCCGGGCACGTCCCACCGGGAGGAGGCCCCGGGGAAGACCCAGGACACGCTGGAGAGACTATGTCTCTCAGCTGGCCTGGGAACGCCTAGGGGTCCCCCCGGACGAGCTTGAGGAGGTGTGTGTGGATAGGGAAGTCTGGGCGTCTCTGCTTAGACTGCTGCCCCCGCGACCCGGCAACGGATAAAGCGGAAGAAAATGGATGGATGGATGGATGCAGCTGTGACATGTAAACATGTGACAGAGGCCAAAAAAGACGTACAGTACGTGTGAGAACTATGTAGGACCAAACAGTTTTGAGAGTGGGGAGATCCTGTATTTGTCCCACAGCGGGGACATTTCAGTGTTGCATCACAAGTTACAGAACAGTAGGAATGAGGAGCACACAATACAAGATAAGTGGGTATTCAGATAGAACAACCAAAAATTAAATAAAATCTATATTTTTAGCTTGATAAAGAAACAAAGTGTAAACCTATATACTTTAGTGCCGTATATAAATTTGTATGTTTACATCTGTAGATCTGTAATACACTCTAGAGCAGAGATATTGAGGTTGTTAAAGCCATAAACTTGGTAGGTTCAAATATTCACAGTGATGATGACACTACATGAGGATCCGGCTCAGTAAAGTGACAGTGGACAAAATGTGGTCCCATATTGCACAATCCGACATTATTGCACATTATTGCACAGCTGCATGATACGTGAGGTGAGGTCAGGTCGGCAGGATTATGTTAATGTAAGTGTATTATGCATCATGACTTCGGAGATATTCTCACCACAGCCCGATATAGTATAAAGTTCTTAATCTGACCGGACGTGTAAAGCTGCACTTCAAAACAGAAAAACTAATTAAGGCACTTGCTAAATTTGCAGCAGTGACAAGACAAGCTGAGAGTCTGAATCCTCTGCGGCTACAGAGGACACAGTTCAAACCACTGTTTTCTGAAATTGATCATTTCTCCTCAGGCTTAAGGCAAACCGGCTCAACTCACCCGGGGCCGTGGAGCTGTGCATTTCTGGCAAGACAGATTGGCCAAGTAAAGTCAAGACACACTGCAAACCAGCCACACTGGGACTCTTAAAAATGAATGTGCAGCAAAGTTAATCCTCAAGGGAAGATTAGGATTATATACAATCTTCCAACCACTGGTGCGGATTGGGATTGGTGCATAATTTTAAACCTTTTCTCAGCATATGACATGTTTTCAGATGTTTTATTTCAGAATTTGTTCACTTTTTGACAATTTTTGATTCACTGAAAAAGTAACCAGCATGCAGACAGAGAACAGCTCACTCTTCATATCTTGTCATATTTTGTGCGACTCAAAATTAGGTTTGTGGTTACCGCCATCTAGTGGACATTTGCTTAAAACAGCAGGTAGATTTTCATTTCAACACTAGAATACACAAATCTGTCATATACACGTGTTGTCAACAAGCTAGTTTAATGTCACTGGGAAAGGATGAACTAATGTGCTTCGTTAATTATGGTTATCCTATCCACATTGTTACAACTAATAGATTCTTGTTTTATTTATTAAGAGAAAAATGAATATTATAAACATTAGTTGATTAGACATTATGATGATGTGGTTGGAAATGGTACGAAGTTCACATGGCTAAAATGTTTTCACAAAATCAATACTCTAACTCCAATTTCAAGACCAGAAAGTATGATTTTGAGAGTTTATTCTGTATTGGAAACATATCTTTCAAACACAATTTTATCCCATCACTATGAGCTGCCTTGTGTATGAATTGAGCCATACAAATAATCTTGCTTTGCCCTATAGTGCTTCTGGCTAAAGTGCCCTGGTCACTGACGAGGCTCCACCCCTTTACAATCATTAGCCCTCACTATAAACAATAATGATGATGATTTTTAGACAAATCTATGTGCGAGTAACATGCACAGATTGTGTGATACTCAATGTTTGGTCCTTGACAGGGACATGGCTCAAGCTTCTGGTCCTCGGGCAAAATAAAATCTATCCAAACAAAACATCCCTGTGGCACATGTTCAGTTCAGGGGAATTAGACCTTTTCTTCTTTTTGTGTGACACGGATTCTGGGACAGATACAGTCGGAAGGTGCTCGACTAAATAAATCATCAACGAAATTACACACACTTTTTGATTTCTCAATCCTATCCTCAACTTGTTAGAATTTAGATACAATTGTGTGATAAAACTCTATTAAAGGTGCTTCATTTATGTACATAAAAGCGCTAATTGAGCTAAAACAATTTCTTGGTTTTCTAGCATGGTATAATTCTTTATAGTCCATGGTATAGTCCTTTTTCAGTTTCTGTGCTCTTCTAAGAATATGCATTGATTGCAAAATAATCAAACATCTTTTTTTAAAGAAATGATTAACAGTAAACAAACAAACTAGTTACAGTAGAGGCTGCAAGAGCACTCACTTGTTGTGTCATCCAGACCTCAACAGTACTGCATCTAAGGTGTTTAAAATCTATTATTTTAGAACTTATTCTTTGAACAATTGAAAACAACATATCACACAACTAATCACTCCCTTCAAGTCAGGCATTCAGTCTTGTACTGTATGAGAAGGGTACATTATTTATCAAATGTGCTTTCTTCAACTGGCTTTTTGTGTAATGGCTGCTTCTTCTGATAGATGCTGATAAACAATAAAAGTCATTACAAGCAAAGTGATACATGACAAGCCTTTGTTTGTGGATTACAGTCTATTTCCAAAACATTCTGATGTTGTGAGATGTTTAGTTTTGGTTGCGCTGTGAGTCATACTTATCAACATTGTACCAAATAAAGGCTTGATATGACTCATTGAAAGTTGAATTTTTGAATAATATCCACATTTTCTGAGTTTCCATCGTATGTTCTTGCTTTGTATGGAATGTCACTCAGTTTATAAACAATTGTGGAGGATTTTAGTGCTTAAAAAACATGGGTGAGAAGACCCAATGTTAAAAGAAAGATGATTGCCCAACTGTATTTATAACCTGGCAAAACAACAACATTTAGATGAACCCAAACACAAAGCAGTTTAGGAATGTATAAATACTTACAATACAGTACTAGAATACTTTCTTCCTGTGGTGTTCTTTCCTCCCAACTTCCTTCTTTCTTGCCTCCCAATTTGACAATCACAAACTTGTTGTTATGACCATGAGATTCCACCAGAGGGCAGTCTCTACCCAGATTTCCATTCTGTTGTGTCATATTCCTCTTGCCAAAGAATTGCAGCCTGCTGGCCCCTGGATATCATTACACACTCAATAAAGCAATAGTCAGCCATTTTCTCTGCTTAATTGATCCCAGCGCTGCTCGACAATGTGTTGCATGACATTTGCTGCAGCAGAACGCGAGGATACAACACCTCTGAGGAAGATGCGCCGTGTAATTGACTTGTTGTGGTGTTCTTGTTGAGTGACCATCAAACGGCACGCTGGACACTTGTTGGTCAGTGCAAGGTCAGTGGTGCATTCCTGTCCTTGTCTGTGTCTCCATTGGGCTGCTGTGTATATGTCAGAGGTTGTGAAACCATTTTGTGCACAGCTCTTTCCCAATCCCAAGAAATGTGCGTGTTACGTAGGAATTGACAAACAAGCTTGAGAAAAAGCTGATGATAAGAGATTGTTTATGCTGCTTATACAAGACAGAAGATGATAAGATATTCCAAAACAGAAATATGAATACTTTCCAGGACCGCCACTCTATACACATTTATGTAAAGGCGAGATACTTTTTGGTTTGGGTTTCTCAAACTGGAGTACCTCTTTAAAAGCATTTGTTATTGCATTTGTTATGAGATTTCCTAGAAAAAGGATACATGCAAATTCTACAATTTCCCTTTAAAGCAAGAGCGTGAGTTCGAGGAAATAACTTTGCAAAGCAGAGGCATTTAGTTAGTGTCACTGTGAAGCCTTTTTAAACTCCCTTAATTCACCTATTCTGATTAAAGCTGGGGTACCAAACCTTTTCAAATACATACATTTCTTTGTACACATCGACAACAACAAAAACAACAAACAGTATTCGTAATAACACTATTATCAATACATTTTGTTTTCTCAGTCTCAACATAGACTGGGGCGACAGTGGCTCAGTTGGTAGAGCAGTGGCCTTTGGGCCTGAAAGCCCACCACAAGACCTACTTCACGACTCCCATTGATGACTGCTATCGTTGTGTCCTTGGGCAAGATACTTAACCCCACTTTGCCTGAAACCCCCCCTGAAAGATCAAGACTCCTGTGGACTCACCACCTGCAGGAGGATCAGTGAGGGACTGGTGCTGGCTGCAGCTCTGACTGCCAACCCCCAACCCAGAAATGGATTAAGGGGAAGAAAATGGATGGATAGACAGTCTCAACAGTCTTGTAAAAGTCAAATTTTTTGAACAAATGAGACCAAAACATGCCATCTTTAGTCTATTAGAAAACATGTTTATCTTTTGCATTCTGTGAGTCACTATTGCCTTTCTGGGCTGAGAGTTTATTCGCTAAGTGGGGGTTGTCCGCTCTTTTTTTATATTTTTCTGTCTGAAAAAACAGGCCTGAAACGCATGTTAAAATTAGTGAACTAGTGAGCAACACATTGTTCCTTACATTTATTACATACTGCAGCTCTAGTTATGGTGATTTCAAATTCAAGTATCCCTGCTGTAAATCCCTTCTCTAGAGGCGGTTAAAACTTGAGATCACATCTAAATCACGATGCTCATATTATTGATGTCTAGATAATCTGAAAATGTAAGTATGAAATTACAGTCACAGTGTTAACAAGAAAAATCAAGATGTTTACAGGAATTAGGCAAAAACATAACTGTCCCAAAGCATCCCCCTGTCTGCGCCTAAAGAGACAATATCCTTTAGCAGCTTCTCATACAAGTCAAAATGTGTCCACACCCCCTTCTGAAACTTTTGGCACAGACGATTGATCCTGGCTTTGTGGTTGCAGTGTTCCTCGGCAAACCACTCCTTGTTCTGGAGCAGAGTTGGCCGGCTGCAAGCGCACATGTTTAAAGCATGGCCCTGAAGCCTCGTCTCCTGCTCTGTCTGCCCTGCTCTCCCTTCACTGGCTGCACAAGATCCCAGACCGAAAGACGGGGACGGCCTTTGCTGCCCTAATGACATTTCTTCCGACCAATCGTAGCTCTTTCCACGCCCTCCCTGTATACAGTCCCTCCTCCCTGTTGTCTCTAGGCACACCAACTACCAAGAGGAGGGGAGAAAAGTGCAGGCAGGGAAAAAAAGTAATCGCAAGTAGGCAGGCGGCTCCTGGGTTTAGCTTCCCTGTAGGAACACAGTGTGAGTTCGTGGGGCGTTTGCTGGTTTACTCACTTCTTGTCACAGTAGCAAGAACATCGGCACAGCGGCGGGCCCGGAACAAAGGGGTTGAGCACTGGAGAAGAACTCAGGGACAGAGGGAAAACTGATCTGGTCTCACAGCACTTCAGGAGACTTCATTGAGGGGAAACTGTTAGTTCACGTAGTTCTACTTGTGCACCTGTCTTGAGCTTGACCACATCTTTCAAGCTCAAAGACACAAGACACAAGATGTCAGAAGATGATTGCCGATCTCCCATTGGCCTGGACTGTTGTAGCTGCTGCTTAGACTTGGCCAATGGCATTGATGACTCTATGGGAGGAAGGGGGAGTCCAAGCCAAGGTTTGGGGGCACTGCCTGGGAGCCCCACCAGCCCAACGGTCAGCCACTTCCGGCAATTTCGGCACCAGCTCAGGTACCAGAACGTCAACACCGACAAGCTCAACAACATCATGAGGCAGGATTCGCTGGAGTCTGTGGTGCGAGATCCGTGCTTCCTGCTCAACGAAGGAATCTGCAACAGCAATATTGACCAGACCATGCTGTCCATCCTTCTCTACTTTCACAGGTATGGAACCCAGTCACCTCCTCAGGCACAAAGCCAACTGATACTGTTGTGTGACGAGGGCAAAGTCACAAGTCTTATGTCAGAATACATGTCATTTTCAAGTCGAAAGCAAATAAATAAACACAAACACAAAGTGATCACCAACGGAACAATAATAAAAGTTTTAACCCTACACATCTATTTGAATACAATGAATGAATGAATGAATGAACAAATAAATATATTTTTGGTTCAGCCTATTCCCCACCAGTCAAAATACTTTATCCAGCAGTATTTATAATAACAGATGGTTTAGAGGTTTTTCTATAAGTCGGACACCAGTGTTTACTTGTATGGATTCATTTTTGAGAATCCCTCAAAGGGTGTTATTATGAAACACACATGAATCACCTGCCAGCCAGCAGATAAATTATCTGATTCCAAACAAAATATTAAATAAACTAAATAGTACAAAGCACCTTAACTCACCTTAAATAACCCTTGCTTTAAATCTCAGAATGTGACTCTATTGCTTAGTCTATCTTAATCTAAGAACTAAAGTGGTGTTATCATGGTGCTGTGAAAGTCTTTATGTGTAAATTGATCCAGTAGGTCAATGTTTCTCAACCTGCGGTACAAGTACTGTATATGAATGGTACACATGTCCTCCGGCTGTCACAGGGTACTACTGCAGTTACATTCTTTTTTGCTGTATTCCACATCGTCCTTCTTTGGGTTAACCCATCCACTCATCAATCCATCCATCTCCTTCCCCTTTTTACATGTACATGTCACGGAGGCAGCACCCAGACACCTCTATCCATGCACACTTCCTCCAGCTTATCCAGGGGAAAACAACTTGTTCTCAAACCAGTTAGGAGCCACAGTGTTTATTCCTAGGCGGGGCCCTTTATTGAGGGCAATTCCTAAATGACCAAAGCCCCAAGGTCCAGCAAAGGGCCAAGGTCAAGATGTATCTTGTGGATTATTATCACAGTAGAACCTTCATTTGAGGCAGGCAAATGTGTTGAACAAATATCAGCATCTCTAAATCTGAGGCCACGGTGCTTCATTGGAAAAAGGTGCCATGCCCTCCCCAGGTGGTGGAGAGGTCCTCACTCCTTCCTCAAGTGCTTATGACATCTTGTTTATGATTTGATTTGATTTGATTTATTTAGGGAAAACCCCTTGAGATGCAGCATCTCAATTTCGAGAGGGTCCCATGAACATAAAACACAATATTTATAATATGAGAATATGAGAAATGAATATGAGAGCGCCAGAGTTCTCTTGATTTACCACTCAACATGTCCCCACTCTCACCTATGGTCATACCTCAGCCAGGCATCTGTTGTGGATGTCTCCTGGGTGCTTGCTTGAAGAGGGGCTCTTGTCATGTTCCATCAGGGGAGATCCAGAGGATTACCCTGACGGATGAACTCGGACCAAATTAGAGGTAGTATTTAGGACTTGGTTTAGCCTATTTTTGACACCAGTTTTTCCCCACAGGCAATGACTTTACAAGTTGTACTTGAACTGCACCTGAACAACTTTAACACAATTCTAAAGTTTTAGATTTTGAATGTGGCCTGTCTTTCTGTTTATGTTGGTACTGAATGTATGAATGTGTATGCAGTGCACTCTACGAATGGACAATAACTAACATCCAACTTCTATTTCCTGTTTTTAGAACAGTGCTTGATATGGTGGTACTTAGAAGGCCAAATATTTAGATATAGTGGTGCAGTCAGCAGTCTATTCTTTCTTAGGTAGCACTTGGTGGCAACGGTTTGCAACAACAGACAAACCACTGCTCACTTAAGCAGCTGAGGAAGGTGGTCTGGATGTTATTTTTGATTTGTGTTTCATATAAACAGAAACACAATGTTTACTGCTTCACTGTTTCTGTTGAATCTCTCTTTGAAATAGTTAGAGGTCAATCACTCCTATCTTCCTCCACTGAGTGTAAAGAAAACTTTGGCAGCACACCTCACACTGTTTGTGAGCGCCTCAAAGTGCTGCTTTACCGTGCCGCTGCCAGTTGGCCCAGTGCTTTGGCATCACCTCCATAGCTGTGTCCCACTCCCATCTCCCCCTGCAAACCTCTGCAACAACTGCTGGGTACACTGCTCTAATACTGTATCTTACAGTCACCTGAACTTTGACTTTGAGGGTCATAACATGATAACAATTAGACAATTCTCTTTGTAGTATGTCCTTGAGGGCTATACTTGACCTTTGTATATGGGTTGACCAATTATTTGGCAAATGTTGTTTGTTTTAGATGTTTCTGAATAATTTATTTTATTAATTGTAAAATTCTTAGTCTATTGTCGGTCTATCCAGCCTGTCAGTTAAAACAATAATGATACAGCTCAACAAAACAGATACATACAACATCCAATATTTAAGGGCTGTAATGTTTGCATTATTTAACATGTTGACACCACTATTTTCTTCTTCACTGCAAATTAATATCTGCTCCATTTGTTGGTTATCAACCTAATTCTTGGTATGAGAATCAGCTCTGAAAAAACAGGTTTTGTTATGTCACATAGATGGGATGGTTAAGTTCACAGTGGCAATAAACCACAGATAAGTACTGGTGTGCTAGAACGGTTACAAACAGAATTGGATTTACAAGGTGATAGCATAAAATCATCAAAAATTAACTCAAAATGACTTTCTCCAAGAACAAACAAACAACAGCAGTGATCCTTTGTCTTCTAAAATGAATAGGACAAATTTACTTTGTGACAATATTTGTTTTATGTGTGCAGGTTATCTGAGAAATGTTCTGCCAAGGGACTTATCAGACCATATCAGTTGTACCCACTGACTTATCTATCCAGAACGTACGCCAAACTCCAGCCAAAGGGGTCATATAGTGTCTGGGTGCATACTTTTATAGTCTCTGTCTGCAATTATGATATCAGCCATCACTGTACTTTAGAGTTCCAGGGAAAGATTGTAAACATCTCTTTGGTCATGCATTTTAGCCTCAACACAAACCTATGGTCCAAACTTGATTGCGTAACAAATATAGCATCTTGAGCCAGTGTGTTCACCTTTGCCTTTGGTTTGTGTGGTTGGACGTCTGTGCCAACTCTCTGTTTGTCTGACAAATATGCTTCTCCGGCCAAGAACACTTTGTCCATGAACTTTCCAAGAACTCAAATATTTTTCATATACAAATGTGGAATAAAATACAATATAAGTCATGTCAATTCAATTTTTTGGGAACTAGGAAAGACCAAATAATACAGGAGACATAGACTTAGCGCAATTAATTTTTTAAAATAAATTTGCTCTAGTTTTTGAGTCATATTGTCCTGCATGGGTAATATGCTGTTGGAGAATTGACTATTTTGGAATGTCCTCGGAAATGTCTGCTGTTGAGAATTAGGGCTATACAAAAACACATCTAATTGAATATTCACCTACCCGCCTACATCCATATAACTGTGTTTCATCTTATAATTCACACTGAGGCTCATTGACAAACAAAAACATGAAAAAAAGAGCTGTTTCGAAGCTGTTTATGCTCAAAAACTAGAGCTACGATCATCATTTATATGTGTAATATTGCCTTTTTCAGTCTTTTCATCCGGCAAAGTAGGTTTTTCTCTCAACATGGCAACGAAATACCAGACCAAGCCCCTGCCCTGCACTGCTGCGTCAGACTTGTGTACACCTTCCATCCAGCGTAAAACTGTCTATCAAACCCATGACATTGTTGTGTTAGCTAATGCTTCAGTATGTAGACGTGACACAAGACTTAGAATGTATTGTCTGTTTAGTCTGCAGCTGTGGCCGAGACAACACAAAGCGTGAGGACAAGACACAAGCGTACAGTTAAAATAAAACACATTTTTAACCGACAACTCGAATGGTGATGACAGAGATGGTCCGAATATAACACGTCCACCTTGATGCAAACCATATTGCGTCATTGTCTATTCAATCCAAATGACAGAATGGACTCCACCCATCATGCTGTGTTTATCTCACATAAACTGCTTAATCTTACAGAATGAATATGTATAGTAGTAGAAGTATAGACCAAACAAAAATACATACTCCTCCTGACATTTACTTCAGCATATTTGACATTTTTCCTGTGACAAGACAGCCGTTGTAGTGGCAAAACAACTGAAAAGTGCGTGCCATGGAGAGAGCGTGTTACCTTAAGTCCTGCATAGTTGTAGCCTTAAGCCCTACAAGGCGTCACCAGACGAAGCTTGTTTATATTAGCTGTTTTCTGCCTCTCCCATGTGAAGGGATTAGGGACGTGAATTCAGAGGTGTCATTGATGGAGTCTTCTATGATTGCCATATTGTAACAGAGCAACTGCCTATGTACATTGACAATAGTCGCAGAGAGCTTACATAACTTCAGGTGCAGGGCAGGGAAGAAGTAAACAGGGAAAAGCTCTGATAAATTGTCTCGAGGGGAAGTGCGCCAGATATGTGTCCTTGGAAACGAAAGGCGTGAGGGTCTGAGCCATGTCAGGACAGAAGCGCATGTGTAAACAGGGGATAGGATCATGCATGAGCTAAATATAGGCCACTCTTCAGGCTTGATAACTTTATCCTGTCCCATTAGGTTGTTGTGAAGCTCATAGCCACTCTCCAGGGACATGTTGCTATAATTTCCATTATCTCATGGACGGAGGGGTTTTTCACCAGCCTGCCTATTTAAATAGAACTTAAAATCATTATATTTTACAACATTCACACATTTCCACATTCAATCTGTTAAAATGGGAGGTTATTTCCGGGGACACTGGACTTGGCTCACTTCAGAATCAACAGTCCTCCTAAAATGAACTGAGTGAGTGGACTTTGGACCAATATACGACATACATAACTCATAAAGTGTATTTATAGTGTCATCACGGTACAAAAAAATGCTGTTAGTTTTTTAATACTCACTGTTACTAATGTTAATAAATAAATAAATAAACAGTACTTACTACTTGATACCCTCAGTGAAGATTTATAAAGATGCTGTCATTCACCATGTTACAGCAAGTCAAGTTTTTTCAATAGTTGACAGCTATTGTAGTGATCAACGAAATGTTAACGCTCTATTTGAATATTCTCACACATTGAAGTGCTGTGAGATCTGATTTTAAGACTCCAACAGAACAGTAGTTGCAAAAAGAGAAATGGATAAATGTCTCAATAATAATGTATGGAAATATCATCTTTAAGAATATCCTCCAGCGGCATGACTTAAACTTTTCCTGGGAAATTTTAGATGGAAATTACACAGCCAGATTCTAAACAACCAATTGTTTACTCAAAGGTACAATCGCTAGGTTAATCTATTATCTAATACATTGTTGCAGTTGTATAAACAAGATCACAGTGCTTTTCATTGTGCTATAATGTATTATACTAGAAATAGATCAAAATAATTCAAAATCCACTCCAACAATCTCACATTATGGCCTGTTCATGTGATTTCAGTGTCTACACTCTCTCAACTTTAGGGACCTAGTTTCAATACTAGTTTTTAGTATCGGTTCATATCACCCTTAAAGTATTCTAGCCAGGCCTTTATTCTATACTCCTTTGTGAAGTCATACAGAGCATGCAGCCGAAACAATAAAACACCAAGGGACCAATTTAACAGTACAGTAACTTCTTTAACAGTATTGTGACTGACGTGTCCTTACGGGTGCCCGGCTGGGACAAATATTGCGTGATAGTTTTGTGCATTTGCGCCTATGTCCACAATCGTCCCCTGGAAGAGGTGATCAGCATGTTTATACCCAAAGGTCCTCTTAAAAGCATTGAGCAAACACAGACAGACACACTTAGCGCTGCAATTACAATAGTGTTGTGTAACTTAGATAGAGAAACAAACACACGCCCCTGTGCCATATGTGCGGAGAGGACTGGCACCGCTGTGGTTTCGATGTTCCGGCTGCCATGACAACGGCGTCAACTGCCCCCTCCGCACAGCTTCCATGCAAACACGCTAATCCATAACTTTGCATGTGGATAAAGATGTGTAAACTATTGCAGTGTTTGATTTGTCACAGGCGCCTGAACAGCATGAAGTTATGTTTATTTTTGATTAATGTGGTTGAATACAAACTCGCAGAAGACGTCATTATTTATATGAGTAAAGGTTCTCCTCATGGACTGTGTATATGACGTGTAATTGAAAAAAACCCAGATAACTCAGTTTGAAAAAATAGTTAAAAAGTTGCGTTACTCTAGTTACAATTTTCAACATATTTTATTGTTGGCAGATTTTTTTTTTTTTTTTCTAGGATTTTAGTGAAACTTTATTAGTATCGTGTTGAAATAAATCTAGCTTTAAAAAAATGCTTGGTAGAAGTGATATTGTAAGCCTTGTATAATGGCATTTATCTGTTTTTGCAAATTACCTATTCATAGCGATGGGAAGGGATCATGTTCAAAG